ATACATACATACATACATATACTGATGTACGTGCGTACGTACATACATATAGATAGATACATACATACGTACATACATACATGCATCCAGCACTAAGGGAAACACTTATTATAATTATGAAGCCTGCGCCCATCGGGAGAAACTGATAGTAATTGCAGGCTTTCATGTTGAACCCGGGATGGCCTGCAGAGAACTCCAAGAACCAGAGGCCATCGTCGTCTTGCAGCAACCAGTCCCAGTCGCCATCTCCATCCCAGTCAACAATTGAAAAAGCCGGACGAACCTTCCAAGGGGGGTCCTTTAAAGGCTTCTTTTAAGGGCTCTACAGGGAGACTCATAGCATCAGGCTCTGGGTTTAGGGTAAACCTTCAGGTCAGGTTTTAGGGTTGAGGGTTTAGGGTTTTTTTTGTTGACCCCCTGTTTCCATCAGCGGTTTAGGGCTTAGGGTTTAGGGCTTAGGGGTTTAGGTTCGGAGCTTGGTGTTTATGTACAATTTCGTTGGTTACCTGGCTTCTTAACTGTAGGATCCTACTCAGACTCATATACTGGCTGAGAGGATCCTAGCCAAAATACTGGCCAAGCACGCAGAATTACATCTGAGAGCATCTGAAATCTTCATGCTGCACATCCCAAAATCCTAAACCCTGAACCCTAAACCCAAACAAAACCTAAACCCTACCCCGCCTCCCAGACATTCATCTGGAACCTGGGCTTGCTTGTAAGCCCCCCACTCCTCCCCCCCAACCATGGGGCAACCCGGCTGGCCCCCTCTTTGCTGTAGCGACAACACGCAAAGACCGACGACTTTGGGTCAACCAGCTGTACTTGCATGTTGTATGCACATGTGTGCAGCTCCAAAATCGGATGTCTCCATGGTGGCTTCTCTTCGGGAGACAAGAGGTGTAGTGTCATGCTGAACAGCAATACATCATCGTATGGAAAAGCAAGACCGTCAATAAAGCACGTTGTGTGGAAAGGCGAACGCACGTGGCAAGATCAAGCAATACTGTCATCCCGAACAGGTGTCGAACACGTATATGATAGCTCCCTCCTCATGTCTCAACCACAAGTATTTTCAGTTGCTACCCAGCTGATACCGGATATGCACTTATGTATTTGCCTGCACACTCGCTTTGCTTTTGCGTAGTCAACAACCTGTTATTACAGGCTTAAAACTTGACAATATTACCATGTATTCAAGTATGTTCATCACAGGTAGCTGTTCAGGCAACCAAGACGGAATGCACATGTAGCTGAAACTCAAGAACAAGATCAATGAATCAAGTGTATGATGTGGAAGCGGTGATAAGAAAACACTGAGTGCATGGCAAGTGGCGATTCTGCGACAGCCAGTCTGATCTCTTAGTCATCTTTACGACCGTTTGACGCAAACCTACAATGAAAAACCCCATCCAAATACCTAATTGTCAGGCTGTGTGTTCAACCTGGTGTGCCTCTGCCCTTGAAAGATAGACGATGAGTCGCATGTTTCTTGGCCCCCGATATCTCCTATTAATCAAGCAAAAGGAGCTCAACATCCCCAGAAATGATTTGCCACTGAACTTTTATGGCTTGGAAACATCATATTTTCACAGGCTGCTTACATGTCTTACATCGTTTTATCAACTCGCTGATGTTACTCCGTATCAATATTGATCAGTACTGGGTCAGTTCTGTACTACTGGTAGGTTCAATACACTAGACAGGAAGAGCTTTAAACAAAACATATGAAAGAATCTTAAACCCTAAATCTCCAAACCCCCAAACCCTTCAACCCGAAATCTCAGATTTCTTAACAGAAAAAGAAGCAAAGCAAACTCAGGGAACGCTCCAAGAAACCGAAGATCTCTGAATGGGTTCGCTTCCCCGAATTGCTCTGTCAGCTGCCATTGATGCTGCTTGAAGTACCTCACAGACTAGGGTTTAGGCTTTAGGGGTTTAGGGCCGTTTGAAACTGAGAGTACAGTTCATTGGGGTTTAGGGTATGGAGGTATCGAACACCAGTTGTTAGCGCTTGAGTCTAGGGTTGGCCGTGACGAGGGGGATTAGTGCCAAACCCTAAACCCTAAACTCTA